GCAAATCTTTTGCCCATGTTTTGACTGTTGTTTTCTTGTTATAAAGTTACAAGTATTCTTTATATATTCTGGATACAGGTCCTTCACCAAAAGTATGATTTGCAAATATTTTCTCTCAGTCTGTTTTTTTTAACTTAATGAAGTCTTTTGAAGAGCAAAAGTCTTAATGATGAAATCTAGTTTATCACTGTTTGCTTTTGTTGCTTGTGTTTTGATGTTATATCTTTGCATAGCTCAGTGGTTCTCAACTGGAGGTAGTTTTGCCCCCAAGGGACATTTGGTATGGAGATATATATTACTGTCAAAACTAGGAAGGGGGTTGAAACTAGTGTAGTGTTCTTGGTAGAAGCCAAGGATGCTGCTGAACACTCTACAATGCACAGGACAATCTCACAACAAAGAATAATCTGACCTAAAAGGTCAGTATTGTCAGATTGAGAAACACTATCTAACATGAAGTTATGAAAATTTTCTTTTTATTATTTCAAAATATTTGACAATTTCTGCTCTTATATTTAGGCTGTGATCCATTTTGAGTTCATGTGTATGTATGAGATGAGGTAGGGGTCTAATTTATTCTTTTACAGTTGTCTCAACACCATTTGTTGGAAATAAAAATGGATATCTGGCCCTTTTGAGTTATTTTTCCCTTTATATAAAAAAATAAATTGACCATGAATGTTGAGGTTCAAGCTTTTTTTTGATTGCTATTTTTATTTTTATTTATGTCTTATTCCATAATTTTACTTTTAACCTACCTATATCATTTGAAGTGAGTTTTTTTTTGTAGGCAAAGTATAGTTGGGTCATATTTTTTATTCATTCTGACAATTGGTGTGTTTAGACTACTTACATTTAGTTAAATCATTGATATGTTTGAATTTAGGTCTACTATTTTAATATTAATTCTATTTATTCTTTATCTTTCTCCTTCCTTTCTCTTTGTTGCCTTTCGGATTGTTTGAACATTTTTTTAGCATTCCATTTTTATCTGTTTTTGACTACATCTCTTTGTGTAGCTTTTTAGTGGTTTTTCTCAGAGTGACAATATACATACTTGACTTTTCAGAGTCTATGTAGGATAAATAGTTGCCACTTAAACTAGAATGTAGACATCTTACCATTTAGGCCCCTTTACACTTCCCTCTATATTGTAGTTTTCATGTATTTAATTTACACATATTAAAAACTTTTAGACTGTTATATTTTACTTCAGTCATAAAACATATTTTAAAGAACTGAGAATAGTTTATTATTTATACTGAGATTTTCACTGTTTCTGTTGTTCTTTGTTTATCCTCGATGTTCCCAGTTTCCTTTTGATAGCTTTCTTTTGTTTTAAAAACTAGAACACATTTTCTGATCATGAATTCTCTTAGTTTTCTTTAATCTGAAATTTTCTTTATTTAACCTTTATTGCTGAAGTATATTTTTACTGGATATAGAATTCTGCTTTGATAGTTCTTTTCATTTAGTGCTTTTAAAATGTTGTGCCGTATCATTTTGGCTTCTGTGATTTCTGATAAGAAATCTGTTGTCACTCAAATTATTGTTCCCATATAATGTGCCATTTCTCTATGGCTGCTTTTGATTTTTTCTTTTTCTTTAATTTTAACCAATTTGATTATAACAAGTCTTAAAGTGAATTTCTTTTTTCCCTTTTATTGAATTTATTGAGGTGACAGTCTCACCTATAAGTGAAACCTAATCAACAAAACAAACAAGCAAGCAAAATATAACCAAGAGAGACATTGAAATTAAAGTGAATTTCTTTGGGTTTATCTTATTTTAGGTTCACTGAGCTTCTTATGGCAAATTAGGGAAGCTTTCATTCATTATTTCTTCCAGTATTTTTTTCTGCACCACCCTTTCCCCCCTCTCCTTCTAGGATTCAAATGACATAAATATAAAACATTTTAACATTGTCATACAGGCCCCAAAGTCTGTTTATTTTTTAATCACTTTTAAATAAGTTTAATCAATTCTACATTGTTCCATGAAGCTAATTTCTGTTGTTCTATCTTCAAGTTTACTGCCATTTCTTTTTATTTGCCCATCCAATTAGTTTTCATTTTGGATTTTTTTCTACAATTTCTCTTTAGTTCTTCTTTATAGCTTCTTTTATCAAGACTTTGTTTTTCCATTTGTGTCAACAGTATTTGTATGTATTTTGGTTTCTCACATGGAAATTTTCCCTTCTGAAAGAGCTCCTGATATTTGGCCTGTTTATTTGCTCTTTGACTTTTTATCATAGAATGATGTGCATAATGCACAAAATAAAACTTGGGTTATTTTAGTTTGTTGCTGCTAAGATTCCAGATGAATGGCAATCTACTATGTTCATATTAAAGAGGTTGCTTTGCATAAATTTTCTCATTTTATACTTGATAAGAAAACTAAACATCAGGTTCAGAGACCCGGGTATGAATTTTGCCTCTGCTAATTTCTAGCACTGTATTGCAAGTCTCTTCACCTCTTTGGGAAACATTTTCACGAGGGTTGAATGCATCTTTGAACTGCATTCCTGCTCTAACATTCCAAGGGTCTCTGGTCTGTGGAGCATGGGACAGCATCCACCTTTGTCCTTTGACATATTTCTCTCCTGCCCTTGTTGATCTTGGGGCAATGATGGGGACTGTTTGATATTACAGTGAACTTAAGAACACCTTAGGAAGCAAGAACACCATTGACCAAACAGCCACTGGAAGCAGGAAGATTTTACTCTTAGTAGGAAATCATATTTTCCATATCATGGACAGGTGGGTTTTAACACCTCTTCTTTAAATTAAGGGTGACATAACCAAATTTCTTCTGCCAAACAGGCCAGCAAACTTTACAATTAAGGAAGTCTTCTCAACATTTAATTATAGAGTCTGTTTTGCTGAAGTTTCTCAAAATCTACCTTGCCTCTTTGTTCTACCCTTGGCAGCACCTTACTGGCCTGCTATGGGACATTCTGCCCTTCCACTACTACTTTCTTTCCTTTCCACAGCTACTTCAGCTCTCAGCTGCCGCGGTGGAAAAAGGACGCAGCGTAGGTGAGGTTCTGCAGTCTGTGCTGCGCTATGAGAAGGAGCGACAGCTGGATGAGGCAGTGGGGAATGTCACACGGCTGCAGCTGCTGGACTGGTTGATGGAGAACTTGTGATGGGCGCCCACTCACTGCTTTCCCCTCTTGCAGCAGTTGGCTCAGCCCTTTTCCCTTCCCTTCTTTCTCACTTCCACAGCTTCTTTCTTTATATCCTCATCCCACTCACATCAAAGACATGTCATCTTATGCTAGTCACTGGATTTTGCAGATTTTCCTGTCCATGCGAGCAAGGACATAAAATAAAAAAATTACAATTAAAGTGCTCCAAGTGTATGGTTTCTGTGGGATCCAATGGGGCAATAAGGTAAAGAAATTTCAGGGATGAAAAAATAATCAGATGGATAGCAGAAGAAAATAATGCTGAACTGAGAGTTCCTGACAAAGGTCCTTAGACCTGTGTCACAACTTGCAGTCCCCTGCCTTCAAGTGTCCCCTAAAAATAAGAAGCCACAATTTATCAACTCATTCAGCCTTTTAAAGCCATGCAAATTGGGAAATATTTTCTAATATTCAACCCAAATTATTCTGATTATGGTATCAAGGATTTGGCTTCAAGAACAAAATGACTGTCTGCCTCAGCTTTGTCCATGGCTGAAGATAGCTGATGTCAAGAGGTCCAGAAGACCTGAATTTTATTTCCAGTTCTGTACCTTTCTGGTTATAGGACATGGGACAAGTTACCTACTATGATGCTGCTCTGACTTAATGTCCATATCACCCCATTTAAGAAGCATTTTCTGTTCTTATTTTGACCTTTCTGTGGAATTTTATATTCTTGATCCTTCCTTCTGTAAACTTTCTTTTCTAGTTTCTAATATCCTATTTTTTCTATGTCTCTTTGGGACTCTACTAAACTCTGTCAACCCTTACATATATTTATCTTTTATAGGACTGTCTCTTGGCCCTCTGCTATTGTCACTCTATATTATCTTCCCTAGGTGATTTCATCCAAACCCATAGCTTCAATTATCTGATGTCTCTCTTTATAGAATAGTACAAAGTGATTAAAATGATGTTATAATTTTTAGCTTCTTGTAAAATTTTACCTGCACTATAATTACAACCCTACAGAGATTATTTATTCATTAGATGAGGACTAGAAAGGCAAAATAAATGGACTTACTTAGACTTTGCGATTGGTGGATGAACAAACACCTGCTATTGTGATCCTAGAGAAACATCAGATGGGGTGCTACCACTACCACAACCTTCTTAATGTGGCCTTGTGACCCAGTCTGTCCAATCAGAGGATCCCAGTGTCTCAGACATAGTGACTGGCTTAAGTCCAATCATTTCTAAGACCTCCCTGCCCACAAGGAAGACTGCATATTTTGACTGAATAATAGTGGTCCAAGACAAACTTCTGAGCAGAGCTTGTCTTCAGAAAGAAATTAACCATAAAAAGAAGCAAGGCTAAGATGCAGAGGGAGTCTGAGCCCTGTGACCTTGTTTGAATCCCTAGATCCTGCTATGCCTGAAGCTACACTTACCCTTTCTGATTCCCCAATTACATAAACCGATAAATGTCCTTTATTGTTCAAACTGTTTTGAGTTTACCTTCTGTCATTATCAAATAAGAATCCTGTCTCGGGCAAAAATAAAAATTTAGAGTTCTATTAGTGATGATATAACTGAGTATTTAATGCTCCCTGCCCTGCCCAATATACACACTCATTGTTTTATCTTGTTGAGGGCATAAGGAAGGAATGTAGATGCAAGGACATCCTCTTCCATCCATATCAGAAACCATGCCAACTGGCCATGTGACTAGAGTTGTGGTTTTGTTGTTGTTGATTTTTAAACAAACATTTATGAATTAAAAACAGCAATCTGAAGTATTGTACAATATAAGTGTGGTCTCTAATACAAAGCATTGGTGAAAAGGAACAGGACACACCCTCAGCAGAGGTCATACAATAGGTGGTAAGATGCTTGTGTTCTTGGGGGAGGAGTTTTTGCTTTGCTGCTCTGCGGAGGTCTTGGACTCCTCTGGCCTGACAACTGCCTCTGGTTTACTGGACACTCTTGCTATATGAGGCAGTTGGACAAGCTCAGCTGTGTGCTGGAGAGTGCCCTGCTGATCACCTGAATTCTGAGCCTTAGAGGTGCCATCTTTTATTTTGTCTTTAGTCTCTTCTTTGATGACCACATCTGCTGAAGGAGAGAGAAGACAAAGAACAAGTTGTTCAAATGTGAATTAAATTCTAACTGTCCATTAGCCATCCATTAGCAGGGGAATCCTGGTTGTAATGATATAAAAGCAGTTCATTTATAAAGCACATTCTGCATGCCAGGCATTATTCTAAGCACTTCACATTTGCTAATTCATTTGATACTTGCTCCACAGCCATAGAAAATAGGCATTATTCTTATTCTCATAAATGGAGAAACTGAGATACAGAGAGGTAAGTAAGTTGCCCAAGTGCCTATACCTGGTAAATAATAAGGCCTGAATTTAATTACAGGCAACCTGACTCCAATGACCCTGAACACAATCAGTAGGCTATTTACATATAAAAAATATTTGACTAATGCCATAATCTGATAAAAATTCAAAAGGTAATTAAAGGGGTACAGAAAAGGACATGGTGAAAGAAAAGGAAAGCAGGAGAAAGGGAATTGAAGATAACATGAAAAATGGAAAATCCTAATAATGGGCAAAAAAAAAAAAAGCTAGAACCAAGTTTTCTGAAAGGACAATCCCAAAAGTAAGAAATGGCAGGCCAGTAGTGGTGTAGCAGAATAACTATCTATCCAAGGTTGAGTTCAGAGAAACTGACATGCAGTCCTTCACAGATGCCTAAACCCTGGCCTATGGGAAGAGAACTGGCTATCTGAGGGGCTGTACCTTTTTTACCCAAGTGGTGATGCCTTTGAACCTTGTCCTTTCTTGCCTCAGAAGGGAAACAGATATTGAATTTCCTCAGGGTCTGGGGCCGGGGCCGTGGTTTGAAGTTCCGAGCATCAAGTATCCAAGCATGCTTGAGGGCCTGGTCAGGGGTCATGCGAAGAGAAGGTTCCCATCTACACACCAACAAAGCCCAGCAGGGGTTATTGTTTTATTTTTTAATACCGAAACATTTTCAAAGACTCCAATAAAAAACCTAAATAAGGTATAATATAAATGATTAATTTTTAAAGAACTCATTTAAGCTATGTTATAACTCAAAGATATTATAGAATGAGATTATGACATAATTTTAAAGTACCTGGAAATAATTTTTGGAAATGATCTTTTTTAGTAAATTTATATGACAAGCCAAGGAGTGTAATAGATCCCAAGTCTTCTAGAGTTCTAGAAATTTCCTTATAGAAAATATTATAGAAAATCTTAACCAATGGGATTTTGGATTTGTAAACTAAGAAGATCAAAATAAAGGAATGCTTAATTGCAATTTCCAAGCTACAGAATTTGGACCTATAGCTATTATCAGAAAGGATATTACAGAATGCTACAGTATTAAGTTTATAAGGAGACTTGGATATAATTCAGCCAAAACTCTAATGCAGTAACAAAATACATTTGAGAGAAACCCTAACATAGAATCATCCTGTCATTCTTGAATAATTTTAGTGGCAAGGCACTAACTCACAGAACCGTAATTTTTAAAAATGCCAATTCTTTAAAAGTTTTTCATTTTCATTAAGCCAAAATTCCCTTCCTAGGAACTTTAACCCTAGTGACTTTGACTTGAGTCTTATTAGTGTTATATTTTAATGTACCCATCAGCATTATACAGATTGAGACAACTAATCTGTCTTTTATGTTATAATCCTGCAAGTATCTGAAACATTTACATAGCTATTGATTATATAATGTGGTTGCCATCTTCCTAGATAGGAAATCTGAGCTTTTGCCTAACTGGTGACATCATGTTTGGAATAGCTTCTAACTGCAGGTAGGTGGCATTATATGCTAGGCTCATCAAGGTCATAAACAACTCAAGTTCCCAGTTCTTTGTCAAATGAAGTGCTGTTAAGCTACATCTGCCCTCTCTTTAACTTCCAGAATTAGTCTATAAAACCTAGGCCAGGACTTTACATTCACCCCTGTTACATTTGACTCAAAACTTCTAGTCTCTCATTCTAAAACTTGCTAATTAGCAGAATATGGAATGATAAAGTAACAGGCCCCAGTATCTTGACTGCTTCATGCAGGCTGTGAACAACCAGCTCTTTTCACTAAAAAAGAAAATAATGTCTTTCTTGGTTCTGAGCTGTGTTCTGAATGGTTGGGATTTCTGGATAACTCACCTCCGTCTCAGTAATGAGTTTCTGTCATTCGTTAATGCTCATTAGTTCTATAGAGGCTGGGGGTGGGAAAAACAGGGGTACAGAATCCTTCTCTATCTGCATTTCTCAGATGAGTAGCTTGAACTCCCAGATGGAAAAACTTTCAGCAGTGCCTGATGTTTATCCTGTGAGCTGGAACCTAAATTCCGGAGTGCACAAATGCCAGAACAGTGTTTTACCAAAACTACCCCCTGGAAGAATGACAGAACATAAAGATATGTTCTTGTACAAATACTGAATAATGACAGGACTGACATCACTGGGAGAGACCTTAGGTATACCCCGCTTTATACAAAAAGAAACAGGCCTAGAGAGAGACACTGACTTGCCAAATATCATACATCTCATGTACTCACCACTCTGTGCAGACAGACTGGCAGAACCTCTTTTTAAAATGACAACTGCTTACATTTTCCAAACTCTTCCTAACTAGGGACTGTACTGGGTGGGTGTTTTAAGTGCTGTTGTTGTTTTTTTTTCTCTATGACTTGACTGAAGTAGAGTATCTAATTTCTAAGATTCAAAATATGCATGTGGATTCTAAAAAGCTGTACATAATAAATGGTTTATAGCTCACCCACTCCCTTCCTTAAAGGATTTAGGCTCTAAACTCTACAGGCATGGGGAGAGGCCCTGAAACTGTACATCTGGTGTGTGTGCAGTTGCAGCTGCTTCAGTTCACTAAGTAGAAGACATTTAGGACTTGCCTACAACCTTGCTGCCAGGCAGCCTGAAGCCAAGAAGAAGGCAAGCTCTACACACAACATAACCCAAGGCAGTCACTTAATCTCTTTGAGCCTCAGGCTTCATCTCTCAAAACAGAGCAAGTCATCTGTTCTGACAATCACACAGGAGGTGAGAAGAGTCTGATGAGGCAACAGGTGGGGGAGCATGTTGTAGGCTCTTAAGTTCTATTGTCAGCATTTGTTATTGTTTTCATAACACTCTTCCAGCCCCACACTTTCACCAGCAAACACGTGGGAAAGCACACTATTTAAAATGAAAAGCAGAGCCTTGGCTGGTGTGGCTCAGTGGATTGAGTGCTGGCCTGCCAACTGAAAAATCACCACTTTGAAAACCAGTCAGGGCACATGCCTGGGTTGCAGGCCAGATCCCCAGTTGGGGGCGAAGGAGAAGCAATTGATTTAATGTTTCTTTCCTCTCTCCCTTTCCCTCTCTCTAAAAATAAATAAATAAAATATATATTTTTTAAAATAATACTTAAAAAAATAAAAATAATAATAAAAGGAAAATCAGAGACAAGGACACCCCAATAAACTCACACCAGACACCTTCTGAGAAAGTCCAGGAAGCCGGAGTCATAGGTTTTCAGCACCATCGTGAGATCCTTGGAATCCGGGTATCTTTTTTTCCCCCTATTGTTGGTTATATTTTTAGGAAAACCTTTGGAATCTTTAGAGATACAACATTCTGTGTTAAGTTCCAGGTGTATATATTCATCGGTCACATTACAGCTGTTCACTCATCTGTGCCTGCATCTCAGGGTGGTCTTTGCAACTCTCTCACTCATGGCACTGAACCCCCCGCCCCCCCCACCCCCCCGCATCCAAATACACCTGCAGTCTCCGTTGGTTTGAAATAACCACATGTACATGGTCCAATGAATGCAATTACCTTCTACAGACAATTTTCCCTACTCTTCGGTATGTTCTGAGCCTCCTTCCTACCACTTCCTCCTCAAATCAATCAAATGGTTTGAATGGTTTAAGGTAAAATGATAATGATTAGTAATAATAACTCTGAAACGATAAAAACATTCAGCTCTGAATAAAAAGAATATTGTCCATTCTCAGAGTACTGATGCCCTTCTCTTTCCCCACTAATCCAATAAAGTGAGAATTGGGGACATCATGAGGTATAACAAGAAAGTCATTGTAGGAGAATGATTTACTTCCAGAGCCCATTTATAAGCCACAAATTATTCTCATTACTTCTTTATAGTCACATCAAAATTTTATCCATAATGGGATAAACATTATCCCCTTTGATTGGTCCCAAAGACACAGCTTGAAATGACTTTCTTCAGCCATTTTCACTAGTCATAGCCCTCAACAAATGTATGATTTGTCATGCTTAATAAGAAGCCCTGAAGACAGCTCCAAAGGCTTCCTGAGGGTGCTGTGTGCAGTGCTATGAAGGTAAGGCCACTCATTTGGACACCTAGATTCTGGCATATATATTCAAAAAAGTTGACAACTTATGCTCACACCTTGGAAATCTGAACGTAAGTGGGTGGATATGTATACACACAATCTACACATTAAATTGAATTTTCACAAAAGCTCAGTGGGGTTCGTGTAATAGACCTTGTGGAAGGTATAGAAGTGCTTCCATTGTTTTTGTCATCAATGCCATTTTCAGGGTTTTCAAAAGAACATCTGCTCTTACTGAGTTCCTGGTGGAGACTGTGAAGGTGTGTATGTGTAGGATAGATATGTGTATCTGTATCTATGTATTTATATGGATAAGGGTTAGAGGCATAGCACAGGTATAGGTCCTGTGAATTCATACACATCCCCATTTCCCTTTTTGACTGTGGCACCAGTGGCCCCGCCCCAACCTTGTGCTATATGTTGATCTTTTCACAAATGACCAAAGGAGAACCAGGCTCACAGGCTCATAAAGGACATGGCTCCTAAAATCATTGATTTACTTGTACAAGTCTTCTCACCCCTCCAATGTTCTCCAACTATTCCCTCCATCTCCTTTTTGCTGCCTGGAGCACCTAGGTATCTTACTACTTACTGCATTTAAGGCAACATCACTTACTACTAATTACTCATAGTGGTATTTACAAGGAGTGCCTGGGAGTTGAGGAGCTGTTGGCAACCCAGACCTGAGGAAGGGAGCCAATAACTGAAGTGGACACAGTGCATCCCAAACTTACTTTATCATAAGAAGCACAGAGAGCTGTTGTTAAAAACAGACTGCTGAGTCCCATCTCAAACCTACTATATCATAGGTTATACAGGAGGATTGTAGGAATTAACATATTGCTAAGTACCCAACTGATCCTTACAATCAGATAAAGTTTGGGAAACACTGAAGAGGATGCAGGAATGAAGATCCATAGATGTTGCTATCAAAACCACATCATCACTCTAAAGCCTAATGCTGATGGTAAAAATTTAATACCCTATAAGATGGCCACGTGTATGTTTTTGGTATCCTCTCATGAAGATGCCTTATATTCCCTTCCTTTCCATCTCCACCCACATACTATTTCCTGAGCTTAGTGTTTAAGCTCAAAATGTGGTTCTTCCCACAATGTCTTTGTCTAATAGGGGGGAACACCAATATCTCTACTTTTCTTTCCCTAAATTCTTTGAAATCCAAAAGACCAGTTTGGGGTCAAAAGATCAGTTCCATTGCTCCAGGAGTAAGTTACAGCAGCCAATCAGCCAGATCCTCTGCCTGCCATCAGACTTCTCTGGAAGAAGAGTTAGTTAATGTGTGGGCACCATGCTACCAGAACACTGACCCCCCTCAGAGGCAAGGTCTTCAAAGCTCCAGCCATGACTATAAACAAGGTGATGTTTACAAGATATAACCACTGGAATGGCAATGGTCTGACTAATCAGGGTAGATGACAGCCTTGGCAGTGAAGTAGGATCATGGAGGACTCTACTTGCCAGGCCTTAAACTTTTAGTTTCTAAATCATGGGAAGTTCAAGGAGGCTTAGCAGTGGGGCCAGGCAGCCTGTGGCTGTGGCAGGGACTCAAGGCTGTGGCATTTTGTCACATGGTACAGAAATGGTGTATATTTTAACCCTTATGTGGCTGAATCGGTACATATTGGCTGACCACCAACATGACTGAAGCTCCTTGACTAGGAGGATCCCCCAAGAGGGTGTTTTTGAGTCTCCTATAAACTGGGCAAGTTTGGAAAGAAATTATGTGACTTGTCTTACATTTTGAGGCCACTCTGGGGTAAACCATAAGGGGCAGAATGGTTAGAAATGACTGGGATTCCATAGCCAGTATGAGCCTGTGAACTAACCAAACAAAAATGGTTGGTCAGAAACGTCATTTGGATGTTTGTGGAGTTCCCATTCCCTCATGTCTGGCTTTGTTCCACTTGCCTGATCTTTGGGCCACTGTGGCTTTTTTTCTACCTTAGCTTCTTATGGTTCTTCAAAGGGAGTTTAGATATGGGACTGACTTCATCTTTCTGGTACATGGTGCACTGGAAGCACCCCTGTCTAAGTTGGACCTCACTGATCCAGCTGTTCATCTTGTAGAGCACCACTTAACTAGAAAGACAGAGGATCATAAAATCCAGAGCCTGGGGACTGTGATGAGGGGCAGCGTGGGACTGTGGATGAAGCTTATCCCCAGAATTAGGCAAATGTCCCATACATAGTTAGCAAGCCACAATACACCCATAGCAACTGTTCTGCCAGCCCTTGTTTTACCCATATTATTCCAAAATTTCAATGAACCCAGGATAGTAAGGTTCTGGAGGAATAAGAGAATTTCAGCAGGAAAGAACACTGTTCCATTAATTACAGACTATAGCAATGAAACCTTCCACTGTTCATGAAAAGAAGTTTCTGCTCTTTGATTTCCCTGCATATGTATAGCATGAGGGGGCCACCAGCTTGGAGAAGCCAGGAGAACTATAGCAGAGGGCATAGTTATAATATTTGAGTTTTCAAGATCAGCTGATAGACCTCCTGAGCAGAAACTCGGTCATTTTTGTGTTCCTGCACATTTTCACTTCCAAGACCTCATGTCCAATGTGATATCCCCATCCCTCTCCATCATGTCACCTGATACGACTTCTCAGAATTGTTTTACTTTTCTGGGGGGGAAAAAACACCCTAATCATAGCTTGTCCTTTGGGATGGGGCCAGGGGAAGAGCATTCAATGGTGTTTGGGGGATGGGAGTTATCTTTATGGCCTGTGGCACCTCATCAGCCACAACAGGATAAAGAGTTAGACTTGGAGACTTACCAAAGAATGTCTGTCTCCTGGAGGCTGTCTGGATGAAGCGGGTTGGTGGCAGGCCCAGCACCTTCAACAAGTAAAATGCAGTTGCTTCACTCTTGTGGGAGTCACATGTTCAAAGACCATTAGAGCTGAGTGGGACTTTGGTCAGACTTTGCCTTCTGCAGATAAGGACCCAGGGATATTGTGATATCAAGTCAGTGACAGAGCAGGCCCAGCACCTGGGTCTTTTGACTCCTAATCCAGGGCTGTTTCAGCATGCTGAGCATCAATACCAGTCATGTAACTCTAAACAGGCATCTGCACCAACTAGAGGTAGGCATTCTTAATGGTAGCCAGATCTCATTGTCAGAATGAATAAAGCAATATACATGCCGACAACCCTGAACTAAGGAATGCCATATTCTGGCTGGGAGCACTAAGAAGGGCAGAAAGGAAGAGGAGATGGAAATTACCAGATGGGCATCAAACCACCCTATGACAAAATACCTACTTGAAAAGAGAAGTGTAGCACCTACTTGTTTACCTGTCCTCTACACATTGCACAGAGACAGAGAAATCACAGGCATCAATCACCCTGAGCCCCAAGTCCCCTACACTTGTAGCTGGGTTCCCGGCCACCATGCAGACCCTGCCCTTCTGCTCTTCAACTCCACTGACACTGAGCTCAAGAGAAAGCTGAATCTGGGGCAGTAAGGACCTCAACTCATGCCCCATACTCCTCATCCTGCTTGCTGTTGGAAGCAGGAAGAGGTAAAGATGCTTTATTAAATAATCCAACACCATCAACCTTGGAAGCCATCTTATGCTGATCCTTTCATTTTCTAGAAGTTCAGAGCAGGACAGTAAGTTGCCAAAGAGAAAGATCTGGATCAGATTCCAGATTTACTGATTCTCACTCCAGTGTTCATTTCAACATAGCTATCTTTTACAGCGACCACCCTTACTTAACTTCACACTTTATTATCAGTTTCAACTATGAAATGAAACTATCTAGATTTCATAATTTTCAAGGGTATGTGCGTGTGTCTCTGACCATCTATAACTTTGAGTCAATCTAGAAAATAGAGATTTGGTATAGGTAGGTAGAAAGAAAAAAGATAGATGACAGATAGATAGATAGATAGATAGATAGATAGACAGATAATGATCCATTTTTCTTCACAGTCAAAATATTTTGTTTACTGGAAAATTTCTGAAATGTGAAATTTTCTATTTCTTAAGGTTATTTTTCTCCTGTTTTATCTAATTTCACTCCGTAACAAAAGGCCTTGTCCTGACCAATGTGGCTCAGTTGGTTGGGTGTCATCCCGCAAAACTAAAGGTCACTCTCAGTCAGGGTACATGCTGGGCTTGTGGTTCAGTACCCAGTCGGGGTGCATGTTGGAGGCAAGTAATCAATGTTTCTCTCTCATATCGATGTTTCTCTCCCTCTCCTTCTCCCTCCTTTCCCTCTCTCTAAAACATAAATAAATAAAATCTTTTTTAAAAGGGGCCTTTAAATGAAAGAATAATAGGTGTAATAAATAATTATATGATGTGTCTTTTTATCGGGAGATATTCTTTTCAGTAAGCTAGGATAATCCATGACTAGTGACTGAATGACACATTGATTTCGATGGGTGTCATGTCACTCTGGTTTTAGATTCTTTGAATATATCTGAAAGACTAGAATACCAGTTTTATTTTTAAATGTCACTCTACAATATACTGCAAATTACATCTCTTGCAATTATTTATGATAAGTAAAAATATTAGATGTCAATTTAAAAGTGTAAAGGGGGATACATAATTTCATAAATACTTTTAGGGAACATCTCCAAAACAAAAAGTATGCAGGCTGCTGCCCTACATCAAGTCTGATGCAACCCAACTTCTGAGAGTGGAAGCTAGTTGTCCTGAGCCCCCAAGTGGAGCAGCCAGGCCCTCCCTCACCTCCATGATGCAGGCCAGCTGCTCCACTTCATTCTCCCCAGGGAACAGAGGATAGCCCATGTACAGCTCTGCCAGGATACAGCCCAGGCTCCACATGTCAATGGCCATATTGTAGGGGTGGCCCAGAATCACTTCTGGGGATCGGTAGAACCGGCTTTGGATGTATGTGTACACTGCATAGAAAAGAAAGAGAAACCTCACAGAGGAGAACATTCTCCTCCCCAGAGCATCCTTAACCAGGATGCCTTCTCAGGTGAGAGTGAACCATCATTACGACGCCCTACACCTTCTCACTGTAGCGGGTTTAGCAGGGAGCCAAACTACGACTGAGCAACACTCAGGAGTCACATCTTGTATCTAATCTCATCAAATCCTTACAGCAAACAAATTATCTTTAAAAAAAAATTTTTCTTGTATTGTTTTCCATTACCATTTAACCTCCTTGTGCCCCTCTCCCCCCAGCAATTACCACACTGTTGTCCGTGCCCATGAGTTATTTTCCTTTTTTGTGCCATCCCTCCACCCCCAAACCTCCCCCCAATGGCTGTCATCCAACTCTCCCTATTTATGTCTCCATTTTACAGCAAACCAATTATTATGGAGGTGTTATTATCCTCAATTTAGCAATAAAGAACTTAAAGTAGGTATTGTTCTAGGGAAATAACTTTTTGTCAGCTAAGCTTTAAAAAAAGAAACATAAGACTAATATAAAGCTAATTTCCAAACTGTAGGATTAATCTGGGGTAGACATCTTCTGAAAGTATTCTGACTTGGCAAGGGAGGAGTCATGTGAGAAATAGAAAAGAAGCATGCAAAAAGCATAATTTAAAAATGTGTACTCATACATTATGTGCACGTGCTGTATAATGTAAAGTATGGAAAAGGAAACCTCAAGAGAATCTCAGCAGAGAGGCTCTATAGAAGATGACATGGCAGGAAGCCTAGATTTTACAGGTGAGGAGACTGGGGTCAGAGAAATGGGATGGTTTATTTGTTCTCTGACTCCCTGGATGGGGCAGGGCAGGGATTCTGTAATCTCTTCTCTGTTGTTTGATTTAGTTCTAGTAAGGATGTAGTAAATTTGTAATTAAAGACAAAAGAAAGATTTAATAAAAATTACTTGTATGTCCTGCCTGCTTCCAAAAAATGGATTTGAAGCATTTTGCAATTAAAGTACACATATGCAGGGTAGTTTTAAAAACTGGATTTGACAGATACTTACATTATGCTTAATATGTGCCAGCCACTATTCCAAGTGTTTTATACAGATGAACTCCTTTAATCCTTACAACAACCCTATGAAGCAGGCACTATTATTGTCCTCATTTTAAAACCAGAAAGCTGAAGCATACAGAGATTAAATAAACTGTCAAGATCACTCAGCTATAAGCAGCAGAGCTGGGATTTGAACCCAGGCAGTTCAAGTCTAGCATCTGTACTCTACTGTCTCACAGTTAAACAAAAGGGAAAGAGAAATATACAAAGGGGGAAATGACTATCAGAAACCAAGGATAAAATAATTATAAATTTGGTTCTGAGCATCCTGCTAATCACAATAAATGCTAACTGAGAAGTTACACAGCTTTTCTATGTAGGAAGAATTAGCATACAGGTCCTTTGTGAGAGGCATATTGTTTTCTAGCTGGAATTTCTCATGGGATCCATACTTAAAAGGTAAAGGACATATGTCTTGAAAAGTGGTGCTGTAGAATATTTGAAAAGATCCATCCAATAGTCATGTTATCTTTTTATCTTTCTGTGCCTTCCATTAGACTGTGAATGACCTGAGGACAGGAAATGTTGAGTTCTTTGTTCCTGGTACCCAGGACAGTGTCTGGCACATAGCAGATATTCAATAAATGTTTGTGAAATGGTGCATGTTCTCAACAGCAAACTTGATAGAAGAAAGTATAAAGCTCAGAGAGCCTAGGGCCATGAACCCCAAACTTCAGAATGGCTACGTGTAGACTCTTGGGTACTCCCCCAGAAAAATTAGATTTGGTACTGTGGGGGTGTGCCTCTCTGCAAGCTATAACTTTCCAGAGGCCACACATGATTCTGATGTACATCTAGTTAGTTTTGGGATCCAATGCTCTCAGGTGATTCCAAATTCACAGAATATGAGATCTGCAAAGGCCCTTGAAATATTTGAGTCCAACCTTCTCATTTTATAGAGAAGGAAATTTAGGCACAGAGAAGTGAAGCCCCTTGTGCAAAATCATATGAACAACTATTACGACTGAGACCAGGCTTGAACCCAAGTGATCTCATGTATGAAGTCCTTGAAGTTTCTATAAGGGAAAGAAATCTCAATAGGGAAATTCAGAGAAAGATACCAGAATGGGGCTTACTTTTCTCATGCTCATAACAGCTTGATCCAAAGTCAATAACTTTAACAGAGACTTGACCCTTTTGGTTTAACACTATATTTTCCTAAAGAGAAGAAAGATGTAAGTCACATTTTAATAATGTCTCCCTAGGCCCTCTATTGTTCTAAATGTCTGCCATCCACTAGGACTCAGTCAGAAATTCAACTACCTCATGGTGGACTCCTCCCATACCTTCTCCAAATCTCATTTTTTAAGCTCCCTTTGCCTTCCTATTTGATTTGTGGTCTGTACCTCTTATTTGGATCCAGAATTTTCTGCTTTACAGTATGTCTTTTGCATATATTTTGTCCCTTTCCCCATATAGATTTATGGGTTTATTTTTATTTCCTTGGCACCTGGTCCTATGCCTTGCTTACATAAGACCTTAGATCATCACTGACAGAATTTGATGTATCCATTAAGTGCCCAATCAACATGAAAAAAAAAAGGGCAATGATTTGATTGGAATTTGTGATTCTTATGCTGGATTTGGGGGAAATCAAAGCCAGGAGTTCCAGTAGTGTCATGGATAAAGAGGCAGAGCTCCTGGGCTCCTCTCTCTGAGCATGAGAGCGTGCCCCCTTGGGCTGGAATATTAAAGTACCAATTGTGTTTTCAAGGACCTGAATATCAGATGAGTTGATTGTTTACTGAGCCCCTTAACATTCTAGATATGGCACAGCAGGCTTGGCCCCAAACCTCTGGCACCATAAATTATGAAAGTAAAAATTTAGTCTCCTGTACCTTTTCTAAGGGATATTTCACCAAGTCTTAAAAGACTGAATTTTTTTTAGTCCAATGGATAGTCCTTCCCAGTTTATTGGCAGAATTCACTCACTCTGGAGTGGGCACAGATGCATCAGGCATCACAGCTCACTGATACTAATCATTAAGTTCATAAGAAGAACTCTGATTCTTGAACCCGCATTAATCAAACCCACTCGTGGTTGTATATCTATTTCCCTACTACGGAAGTGTATATTCCAATCTACTTGACCTATTTCTCAAGGAAACCTATTAGCTCATAATTTGGCTACCAAGTGTCTTGTGAATTTCCTTGGTGAGAGTCAGTCCCCTCAGCCCAAAGGCCATGGCTATTGTGACCCTTTGGAGCTGCAAAGCTAAGGATTAGGAACTTGGATGTAGAGAATGAATCAATGTGCCACCAGCCACCATTTTTTTGTGAGGCTCCTCATCAGCCCAGACAGAAGATGTCTATCTAGACAATCTTTAATTGTCAAAATATCCCAAATTTACCCAGTGAGTTGCATTCTTTAAAAATTAACCAATTCTTGGGTGTGAGGAGAAAGGAATGAGGAAAAGTTAAGGGATATTTAAATATCTGTGGGAGTCGGTTGACTTGGAATCAGCTCCTGACCCCATATTTTTGTACTTTTATATCTATTCTCTAGGCACCTCTCTATTTTGCTCACGTTTGCAGTCATTAACTCATCTAACAAGCTTTTACCTACCTACTGCCTACCATTGTTATTGTCAGGTACCATGCTAGGTCCTGAAAATAAAATGGTGAGAAGGCATGGTTCCTGGCTTGAGGGAGCTTGCAGTTCAGTGGGGGAATACAAATAAACAAGCAATCAGTGCAGTAACAGAGCTAAGTATAGAATACTAGCGGGACATGAGGGAAGGGCACATCCATTTGGAGTAGAAGAAGTACTCAGATTTGTTGGACCCTGGGACCAATTCAGAGCAGAGGGGATACAGTGAGGATTTAATACAGCAGTGACCCAATCTCCTGAGTGACACATCTTTGCACACACTCACGCCTTCAGTAGGTAAGCCCCCAGACCTTCCTATTCCTGTCTGCCTCGATGACCCCATGTCTTTCTTCATTGTCCTCAAGACATCCCTTAGTCTTTACTGCATCTCATTTAATTTACACAGCCTGACAGTTTGGCTTCCACCCTGGGGCCCTGGCCATGACACTGTCTAGTTACCACAAGGGGATGGAATAGGGCAAGTAGTTTCTGAGGATGGAAGCCAGCTCCCCTGCCAGTACAGAGGTTGTACTCACAGGCTTGAGGTCACAGTGAATGATTTTCTCTACATAAAGCATTTGCAAACACTTCAGAACAGAATGGGTAAAGCGCCGAACTACTGACAGACTGAAGCCTTGAAAGCTATTATTCTTCATTAACTCATACAAGTTGATTCTGGGAAAGAGAGAAGGTGATGTGTGTCAGTGTAAAAAAGTATAATGCTGAGTTTAAACCTGAAAACAACCCAAGGGTCACCTGGTTTCCCTCTGAGAGTAGGCAAGCATCAAACGAGGAGGCAAGGCTATGGTGTCCTATAAACTCAATGTTCCCATTGATCCTTGATGGCTTTGGGGTGATGTTCAAATGTGCTGGCCTCTGAGATGTCCCCTCATTTCTTATATGAATAGGTCATTTAATCACTTTTTTATGCTGTGGGTGTTAAGAGGTTGGACCAAATTTCTAAAATATTCATAGTTCTTCAGGCCCTTGGGAGGGATCCAGGAAGTCCACCAGTTACTTAACCCAGAAACCACTTCTGCCCAGACCTAAAAAGGTTGCCCAAAGGTTCCCAACAAGTAAGGTAACAAGCATGTGGACAGATGGGGCTGGGGTAAAACTGAGACACCCTACCCTCTCTATACCTAGCCTGATGGCTTGGTCCCATCTGTCACCTTGCAGAAATGAGGCCTCACTCTTGCCAGATTTTTCAAAATTTTCTAGATAAGCAGAAGCCTGAAATATTATATAAAACCCTGCCATGTTATATGAAATCTGACTTATAAATGTTGGAAATGAATGTAAAACACTTTAACAAGAAAAGCTTAGTAGGCTGCCAGCTTAGGACCTCTGTACACATTGTAAGATGAGGAGAAGAGGGATAGAATGCAGCCCAGAAATGACTCTGCATCGACCTCTTTCTGGTTTCTCCTAAACCTTCTATCCCTAAACTTTATCTAACTCTGTATTTAGGAAGCCATTAATCCTTGATGGGCACAGTGGAGATTTAAGACTTGGCTCTGGCCTCATCCTGACCAGCTGTGTGACCCTGAACAACTTGCCAGCCTCTCTGGGCTTTGGCTTTTCCCTCCACACACCCACTTCTCGGACTTCTCTGAGCACTTTCAAGTACAATGACATGCCAACTGTGCACTTGATTCAAGGCCAAAAACAGTCAGCCTGGGTTGTCCATGTTGTCCCAAGGAAGATAACTTTCCTCTGGAAAGTGGATGTTTTGTGATCACCAGAGATGGTGAGGAGAGTAACAGCTACACTCCTGATTCAAATTTAGCCAGTTCCTAGAATTTCACCACCAATGAAGGTGTCATGGGAACACCAAGCTGTGAGCTCAGTAAAGCCAATAACAACGGTCTTCTGAGAGCTCATCTCTAATTATTCCCCTTTTCTAAATGCATTCTGGGTTTCTGGTTTTATATATATTTCATCAAAGAGAAAAGTAATCAAATTAGGCTGCCCTTCCAATTAGCACACCCTATCAGCTCCAGGGGCTGCCAATCTATCTTAATCAGGTTCTGCTCTCTTACCAAAATGTGGTCCTGTCCTTATTTGCACAAAATCAAAGCTCTTTCCCCACTCTGAGCAGCCAGTTGCCTGCTCCCCTGGGTTCCAACCTCTGCCCTAGAGGGTAGGAAAGCCAATGAGTGGGGAAAGGGTAACAAAGAAAAGCCCTTTCAACGTATTTCTGTTTTGCTCTTAAGGGCAAAGGCCTTATTTCAGTTATGTCACCCAGCCCAGCACCCAGCACCTGGTGACACATCCTGTGTGAGCTCACAAGTGACAGGCATGATGGAGGGGCAGCATGAAATGGGCAGCTTTTGGCCTGGTCTCCTTGCTCCAGGGCTTTCTCCATAACTAGAATTGTTCCCATTCTAGTCACTAAATGTTTACATCCAGAAAAATCTAGTGTTCTGATCTTAAAGTTTCTCTTCTGTCACCTTAAGCCACTTTTCAAAAGAAAATGAGTTGAAAAGAAAAAGCAGCTGACCCCAGCAGTTCAAAGGTGATGCAGAGGTGATTTCGGAAGTAGAAAAAGTCCTTCATGTGTACCACATTGTAGGTGTTGTTCTTGTCCTTCCTTCTGAGAGCTTCCAGGATCTTCAGCTCCACCAGGGCCTGACGATGAAATCTGAAGTGTTTGAGGTGTGGCGGGGGGGTGAAGAATGGGGACAGAAGACATGGTGTCATATCATACAGCAGCAGTAGCCCATTTCCTCCCCTTGACCTTAGCAAGGCAGAAAGCACTAAACATTACATACCCTTGCCTCACCTTCACCCCACCATGGAATGTGATAGGTAGAGAGAAGGGAAAAAAGATCAGAGGAAAAGGTAGATTTGGGAAGGGTGGCATGATGGAGGAGCCAGTCATGCAGTCCCTCTTCTATAGCCTGTGCTACTATCCACCACACCTCTTCTTGTTCCTGATGATTTTCAAGGCCACCAACTCATTGTTTTTGTGATCCAAGCACTTGGCCACTTGTCCAAAGGACCCTTTCCCAATCATCTCCAGAACCTCGTAGCGGTAGGCAATGTGGTCATGCAGGACCTGCAGAAGCCAGGCAGAAGCTAAGGAGCAGAGCCATAGGCTCTGAGGGTCCCCTGATATTGTGGTCCTTGGATACCCATTCCCAACTCATGGCTGACTCCTGGGGTTAACTTTCTGGCCTGCACTGGGCACTAGTGCAACTCCCACCCTCATCTCATTGCTACTGCCATGGTTAGGCTGTTGCTCAGATCCCACATTACCCATGTGCAACCAGGGAAAGTCCCACAGATTTTATCTGTGTCAGGCAATGCAAAGACCACTGGATGGTCTTTGGGAAGAGCAGTAGCTTCAGTTTGGGGTAAGCTCTGTTTCTGACACCTGATGTGTCTCCATCAGTCAGAGAAGTCTGTGTGTCTGCTCTGCCTCTTCCTAATCAGATCTCGTTCTCCTCTTGACTTTTCCAGATTTAATTCTATCTTGGAGTTAGCAATACAAAACTTAGACCTTTCTCAACAAAAAAGAGAAATATTTTCCAAGAGCCAGAATTATTCATATCCCTCCATGTGCTAGAAACTAGGGAGCAACTCTTTAGTTAAAGCAACAGGAAATTATCAATTTAAAAAACTTTTCTAGGTGGCTTCTGACAAGCAACTTATGTACTCTGAGCTGCAGTGCCTTCTGTAATTGAAGGTTCCAGATAAGATGATCTCTTAGGCCTTCCAGGTGTAAGAATCTGTGATCCCTAGTGTCACACTCATAAATTTGGGACAGTTGAAGGAGAAGCATTTGTGTACAAGTCCTCAGAATATATTTGCAATTGTGTGGTGGGGATCTGTTCTTCTAGGAGGAATCAAGCCATGAACATGCACAATTTTACATATATGGGTAAAGGGCAAGGCATAGGTCTTGCAAATGTTGGTGCAAAGCTACATGTGCTTCTCTGGCATTTGTACATGTCTTCTGCATGCCACCAGCTTGGAGGTATCACAATTATTCACTCACACCTCAACTTGGACATTGATTGAAGCCAAGGACCAAGTCATACTCATTTTTGATAGTTTCCTTAATATTTCCAGAGTCTAGCAGATGCCCAAGCATTTAATATATTCTCAATAAATAGCTACTCAGTTAATGTTTGCTGACCAAATAAATGTAAGAATGCAGTTGTGTTACTTGTTTGGGGATTTGCTATGAGCATTGTATATTCATATGCATTGGAATGCAATAAGGATAGAGATTCCAAGCATACAGAAAGCATGTGTATCTCTCTCCCCACTACTAAAACATAGCTCTCCAAGACTTGAGACTGAGGAACGGAGTTCTAGTGAACTAATTTAAAGGTAGTGCTGACATCCCTGGAGAATTTCTCAGAGATTCTAGGCCCAGGTGAAGGGGAGGAGGAGAGGAGGCAAGGGAGAATTTGAGGGATTCTGGCTGAAATAGTGGTAAAGATTTTATTAAAGATTCTTAACCAAAGACCCATTAAAGATTCCCCCACCCCCATTGAAATTGTGTGTCTGTGTAGGGTGCCTTTTCTAAGATGAGGATTTGTAGCTTTTATCAGATTCCCAAAGGGATCCTTGACCTAAAATCATTGAGAATTGGGGCTTTAGATAGAGGGTGTGTGCCAGAAACTCTAAATCCTTGCTTCTCTAAGTGTGGTGTGAGGGCCAGAAGCATGGGCACCACCTGGAAGCTTTTTAGAAAGGCAAAAATCAAGATGGGGGCATAGGTGGATACACTGTGCCTCCTCACACAACCAAAAGAAGGATAACAACAAATTTAAAAACAAAAAAAACAACTAGAAGTGCCAGAAAAACAAACTATATGGAAATCCAACAACCAAGGAGTTAAAGAAGAAATATTCACCCAGACTGGCAAGAGGGGCAAAGATGGGCAGCTGAGGCAAAGAGGATGCACAGCAAGGTGGTGTCTGGAGGACCTAGGGTGGGCAAGACAGCGACTGGCAGAGTGGGCAGTCCCACATTTTTGTGCAAATAGGCCAAGATGAACTGCACAACCCAGGGTTCCTGCTCAGGGAAATAAAACCTCCAAACTTCTGGCTGTAAAATCCTGTGAGGGATGAGGTGGCAGGAGAATCTCCCAGTCTCACAGGAGAGACCTGTGGAGAGACCCATGGGGTCCTAGAATGAACACAAACTCACCCAGGAATCAGCACCAGAAGGGCCCAATTTGCTTGTGGGTAGCCTCGGAGGGGAATGGAAGTTGGCGGAGAGCTGAGTGGGCCACATTGTTCCCTCTTGGACCACTATCCTACATACAGCACCACAGCACAGCAACATGGGTTGCCCTGCCCTGGCAAATACCTAAGGCTCCGTCCCTTACTTAACATGTGCTCTGAGACAAAAAAAAAAAAAATGGCCCAAATGAAAGAACAGATCAAAGCTCCAGAAAAAATACATCTAAGCAACGAAAAGATAGCCAGCCTATCAGATGCACAGTTCTAAACACTGGTAATCAGGATGCTCACAGAATTGGTTGAGTATGGTCACAAAATAGAGGAGAAAGTGAAGGCTATGAAAAGTGAAATAAAGGAAAATGCACGAGGAACCAACAATAACAGGAAAGAAACCAGGACTCAGATCAATGGTATGGAGCGGAAGGAAGAAATAAACATTCAACCAGAGCAGAATGAAGAAACAAGAAATCAAAAAAATGAGGAGAGGCTTAGGAACCTCCAGAACAACTTTAAATGTTCCAATATCCGAATCATAGGGATACCAGAAGGAGAAGAGGAAGAGTAAGAAATTGAAAACTTATTTGAACAAATAATAAAGGAGAACTTCCTCAATCTGGCAAAGGAAATAAGACTTCCAGAAGTCCAGGAAGCTCAGAGAGCCCCAAAGAAGTTGGACCCAAGGAAGCACACACCAAGGCACATCATAATTACATAACCCAAGATGAAAGAGAAGGAAAGAATCTTAAAAGCAGCAAGATGAAAGGAGACAGTTACCTACAAAGGAATTCCCATAATATTATCAGCTGATTTCTCAAAAGAAAACTTACAAGCAAGAAGGGACTGGAAAGAAGTATCCAAAGTCATGAAAGGCAAGGACCTCCATCCAAAATGACTGTATCCAACAAAGCTATCATTTAGAAAGAGCAGATAAAGTGCTTCCCAGATAAGGTCAAGTTAAAGGAGCTTAGTCATCATCACCAAGTCATCATTACCAAGCCCTTACATGAAATGTTAAGAGGACTTATCTAAGAAGAAGAAGAAGATAAAAAATATGGACAGTAACATGACAACAAATTCATGACTATCAACAACTGAAACTAAAAACAAACTAAGCAAACAACTAGAACAGGAAGAAAATCACAGAAATGGAGATCACATGGAGGGTTATCAGTGTGGAGGGGGAGAGAAGGAATGGGTGGAAAGGTACAGGGAATGAGTAGCATAAATTGTCGGTATAAAATAGATAGGAGGAGATTAGGAGTAGTATAGGAAATGGAGGAGCCAAAGAACTTATGTGTACAACACATGGACATGAACTAAGGGGTGGTAGGGAATGTGGGTGGGAGGGGGTGTGCAGGGTAGAGGGGAATAAAGGGGGGAAATGGGACAACTGTAATAGCATAATCAATAAAATATATATATTTTAAAAGTATGGCAAAAATCTCAGGCCGCACCATTGACCTGCTGGCTAAGAATTCAATTTCAAAAGATACCCAGATGACTTATGTGCATAGTAAAGCTCAAGAAACACAGCCTTAAATGCTATTAAGACAATCTGCCTCTTCTGTGAAGGCATCAAAGACCAATCCTGTCTCCCAAACCTAACCAAGTTGTGAGGAAATGACCCAAGGAGGACAGTCCTACCAGCTCGCCAACCTAATTGGCCAAGCATCACACATCTGGACAGCCTCTGAGGTGGAAAGTGCTTCCTGAAGCTCAAGGGACACCTTCCACTGCCCAGATTTCACCTTCAGGCTGGAAAGAGGACCTGTCCTGGGAAGCTCCAGAGACACGGATAGAAGAAGAGAAGAAGTTGTCAGTGGGATACATCTTGGGAAAACTGAAGGAAGTTAAGCACCGGGTACTATAGCAGCAAAAGCATTTTTATTTGTTTGTTTTGTCTGTGTGGGAAATGACATTTACTATAAAATAGAAAACAAGGTCCATGTGTGGGCTTGTGTGGAAGAGACAAAAAAGAGAAAGAGAATGTTGGGGAGACTGCATCTCACTCCATCATCTGTCTTTTTCCAATAGGTGCAGGGCTGCGTAGAAGAGCCTGCGGCACTTGCCCCAGGATACTTTTCACCCCAAGTCCTCTTGGGGAAAATCATATTCTGTTAGCAGAGTAGTTTGAACATTAATTATATGTGTTCTCCTTTATAAATATGGCATTGCATTGGTTTAGCACCTACTAGAATCCTTCAGGATGCCTAACCCCAGATACATCAGCATCAAATGCTATAAAATACCCCACATTTTTTCCTTTCCAGACCCTCTTGTCCCCAAGCCCCCAAACCCTACAATTTCCATGACCTACTCTTCCATCACCTTCTTATAGGAGCCATGTTCATCATCAAAACTTGTCTTGCTGAACTTTTCAGAAGCAACGTGGAACTTCTTGGCTTCAAGCCCCAGGAACCACAGCTCTGCATAGCCCAGGATTTCACTTTGCTCATAAGAAGACAGCTGGTTCCTGAAACACCTTAGGGCCTCTGAGTGAAAAATACTGTAGTTGTCAGTTAAGTTGAGGCAGCACAGGATCTGCCCAGGGTGGGGCAGCCCTTCCAGTTCAGGATCCTGTCAGACCTTTCCTCAGCCGGGGGCTTACTAAGGACTAAGCATCCTGAGTCTCACAGGGTGGAATCGTAACTCAGAGAAATGTCAAGGCGTCATATTGATTTGAACAACTCAGGAGAAAAACACAAAGGACGTGAGAGGGAGGATTCGGTCCCCAAAGAGCTGTGCATTGCAGCACAGCTCTTTTCAACCAACTTCAAAAGGTGAAAAATTCAGAGGTAAACTCAGTGTCAACAAGAGTATACAGTTAAGGCAGCAGTTGCCCAAATTAATGTGGGATTGGGCTACAGAAATAGTTTATCCTGAGAGGGTCTGAAAGCTATCGTGTCTTCAGGGGGTCAACATAAGGTAATGTCATTTCTGTTACCTGAAGTAACTGACTTACTTCAGGTAACATAAATGTGACTTTCAAGGCCCAGGAAGTATTTTCAGCTGAGCCACTGAGTCTCTCAGGCTACAAGGAAGAAATGTGTGTTAGTTCTTCTCTACTCTACCCTGGCCCAATCACATCATGCATCTGGCATTTGGTCTGGGGGTGAGTGGGGTGGGATTCAAATTTTAAGACAGATGTAGATAAACTGGAGAGTGCTGAGAGGAGGGAAACCAGTACTGGGGAGAACCAAGGGAACCATGTTATTTGACAAACTGCTGAAGAGTTGGAGGAGGAATAGCCAGAGAGAAATAAAGAGGCTTATGGGGGACTACACCTGTGTGTGTCCCCATATACCCAAAGGGCAGTCATGTGTAAACTGAATAAGGCATGTTCTTTGCCCAGAAGAACCAAGGCCCAAGAGAGCAGTGAGACATTTATCAGCCAGGCCTTTAAAGGTAGAACTAGCTAAGAACTAATTCCTAGTGGGCAATCCCTGAGATGTTTAAGAGACGGTAAACAACCAATTTCAAAGACGTGGGAGAACATCTCTGAGCATCAGATAGTGTTGGGGCATGGTAGGTGCTCGGTGGAGTTTGGTTTTTCTCCTTTGGACCCTAATAGATTCTGAATCTCTGAGCTTTGTGAGGAGAATGCTCCTGGCCAAAAACCTATGTGTGATCTTCCAGGCCTGACCAGAGGCAATTACAAAGGCTTTACCTGGCAGGCATCACAGGGGAAGCTGCCCTCCCCACACCATCCTTGGTGCACAGCCAATGCATTGAAGTCTGAAGAGCTGCAGTCAAGGACTCAGGTTCCCTAGGCTGGCCATGCTCTTATACATACCTACCGAGGAGCCTCTGTTCAGAGGCCTCTGCAGGTACTTCTGCCAAGATCTCTTTATCAAAAGGAGGGTGGAAAATTCAAGACATTTTCTCCCACTTTGACTCAGAACTCAGTTTTTCCACTCCTAGCCCTTCCCCCTCACCTCAGGAGCCTGGTCCTGAGCTATTCCCTCTAACTGTGCTGAAACCTTTGACCCTGGCCTGGTGCCAGTTCACAGCAGGGGCTGGAGGGTGCAGAAGGAACAGTGAGGAGTCAGTGTTTTCTTCTAGTTAGCCCTCTGCTCGCACTTTCACAGAAAGTCATGAAAGACTTGACTATTGCTTTCATCTTGGCTTGTTGCCTTAATGGATTTAGTCCAACACTGGGCAGCTTAGCCTTCTCCAGCTCAGCTCAGCTCTCCACAACTGACCACCTATAACCACCTCCACCACACCCTCTAGTCCCCCAAAGTCATACCTGCCGCTGTCAGAGGCACCTTGTGCTTGCTCTGTGGTTTCTCTTGGGTATTAATGCTCGAAAGGAAAGGCATTCCCAAAGCCTTGTCCTCAGAGGCCGACTTCTGACTGTGAGTTTGAGTCTCCTGTCCGGGAAAAGAATTTGCAATAAAGGACTACTTAGTCTTCTCCTGGGTGTCTTAAACCATTTACCTGACCAAGAACACCCACATCCAGCCAGACTCTAGTCCTTCCTCTCTGGGAAGAAATGATGATTATAAGACAGTAGGTTTTCTCAATCTTTTCCTCAAAGAACGTATCTGACTCATTCTCTGTGAGACCCACATACATTACAGTGTGCAGTATTTTAAGGAAAAATATTTTACTGCTGCTCTTGAGAAGCCCAGTTCCTGACCAGATAAGATGACTTGCTCAAAGGCACAAACACTTGAACTTAGATGTGTGTAACACCTCTTTAACTTGCTACTTTCTCACATTATCTCATTTGGTACTTACTCAAAAAAAAAAATAGGGAGCATTGGAGGGGAAAAAACATAAAAAACATCTTGTATGCTTCCACCATTTATACTAGACACTTCATTTTTATTTTCTTCAACGAATCCTCATGACAAGTCTATAGAGAGCCCATTTCGTGGACAAAAGAAATTCAGTGACTTATTTGCTGAAGTTTACAATCATCGTGAAGAATGAATGAGAACAGGACTAAAGCCTAACTCTTCAGCTATCATTGTGCTTTTCCCACCATCCTGGGCTGAAATCAAGTCTTTCACTGGCCTGCTCAGGGTCACTTCCACAGCCCAGCACTCACTTTATACAGCAGAGGTGATTTTAGCAGGATTTTGTGGCTGATGCATGGGAAATTAACCATGTTTTTCTTCCCCTTGGTATCCACAAAAGGGCGTGAAGTAATGTTGGTGTTTGCACTCTATGGAAGGAGAAAGTAGAAAAGTTACAGAAGCTTCAGGCAAGAAAATGTCTCAGGGAGTCATTTCCCCAGCATCTTTCCCACAGTAAGGATGGGCCTGAACCAAATCCAGGCCTGAATTTATTTTTAAAGTTCTTGGGGGAAAAGCAGAGCAGTCAAGCAGATGGCCTCTGGGGTTGAATCCCTACTCCACCTATTTGCTGCAGGCCTTAAGCAGATTAAACTCTTTATCTAAGCTTCAGTATCTCATCACTGCCTTGGGGACAACAATGGGACTTATCTCATACTTTTTGTGGGACAAATGAGGCTATCTATATAAAATATTCCATGAGTGTTAATCATTATCGTCACCATTCCAATATCTTGCAATCCTAACAGGGCAAAATTCTCTCTGCAAATTTGCCTTGATGCAACATAAGCTCCCACTTTCCATTATTCACTTGACCTACTCACTTGGATTCCTCCCAAATCCTGCATTGATTAATTGATTGATTGACTGATTGATTGATTGATTGATTAGGAAAGAGGTAGTCTATCAATAAACAGCGACAGTTAACATCATGTGGAGGTAAGGCATGGTAGTGTGGATAGAATGTGCTCATCACATTAGGCCAATCTGACCAAAACCACCTGTCAGAACTACCCTAGCCACCTACCTGCCCTCATCCTCTCCTAGAGAAAAGACACTAAGCATCGCTTCCCACCTTATCCAATAATCGGGTCATGCTGAGGTTCTTGGTCTTAGTAGGTGGCTTCTCAACTTGAACCAAAGGTTCCCCAACCTGGACCAGGTGGAAGAGAATTGGAATAGTGCTTGGTATGATTTTACCTCAAGCCACTCACATATTTATTTTGCTTCATAACAATAAGCAAGATACACATGAAGCCAGTTCTCCTGACTTCAAAGCTAGGATGGGCTAAGAGAGGCTCAAAAAAGTGCTGGATGAACATGTGAATGACTGCCTGAGTGAATACCCAAACAAATGACCTTTCTAGTAGTGTTTATCCTAGATTAACTTTTCCTATGGCTTTCAAACTTATTTTAAAAATCCATATAACCCTTTCTTCAAATAAAATCTTAGCTAGGAGTTTTGGACTGTGGAAGAGATCAAAGCTGAGCTGCTCCTGCTAAAGAGAAGAAAATGCCCATAGTCTAGTCTGGCAATGTGTTTACCCTCCAAGGGACTTTAGAGGTCCCTTGGTGGAACCCACTAGAATATTGGCACCCAGACTGAACACCAGTGACCTGATAAGAAGAGATTTCACATCTAGAAAGAGGTGGAGAGGAGAGATGAAAACAGCAGAGCAGTGTGTCTTAAAGGGCGGTAAGCACACAATGAAGGCATGTGGCATAATTGTGTATAGTACAGAGATAACAGTTATCTAACAGTTACGCATTTATTGAAATGTCCATTTGAAAAACTATATCACATTAAACCTGAATTTTGTGGTTGTTACAATGTAGAATGAACTTTTGAGTTTAAAAAAAACCAGTGTGAGTGCTATATAGATACAGCAACAATCATGAAGTTAGCACTGAAATGACTAAAGTTTAGCAAAAACAGTCTGCAGCTTGAATCTAGGTTCTGCTCTTTGAAGCAGAACCCAGGGATCTCCTTCTTCCAGCCTTCTCTCAGCAAACTGAACAACATTTACCCAAAGCTGAGACACAGCTGGTGCCAGACCCACCCCTATAAAACTTGGTACACTGGCCACATTTATATAGGGACAAGGTACAATACTTCAATATAATATCACCTAGTACAGATAAGCTCTCCACAGAGCTGTAATGATGTGGGCTGTCTAGAACAGTCCATCTTGACCTTGTAGAATAGGGATATGATCTGATGGAGAGAGGGCTGCATAGAGCATGGGCCATGGCCTTAGACCAAACCAACTGCATTACTAATGTGCACTACATAGAGGATTTGGTTGTTTATTGGATGGACAACTAAGCTATCTGAGCAAATACTGCAATGGCAAATGTCAGTGAGTCCTACCTTCTCATCAAATAAATTAATGGGGATTAAAATTTAGAAGCATCAACAATGACAAGCTGGCATTGAGGATTATTTGGGGATAGTGGGCAAAAAAAAATGAAAAGTACATTAACAAAACACAATCCAGACTAAATGCCATGGAGAATGAGTGTCAACAAGGAAGGAAGAGATCACTGTGAATGCAGTCTGCCCAAGAGAATGGGGCGGGGGGCCTTTTTGGAAGCGGTGTGGCTTGGTCTGGGCTGTATTCAGGGGGAAGGGTAGCAGGCATGCTTATTAGGCAAAACAATAGTGTCTGCATACTCTAGGGGTCTTCTCCCCTCATGCTGGTTAAACTGAAGGACAGTGTACACTGGATTGTGGAAGGCACTCAAAGCTAAGGTAAGATACATGATCTCTATCTTACGGGCAATACCAAACCACTGCCATATTTTCAAGGTTTGGAGTTACATACACAGAGCAGTATTTCAGAAAGATTCCCCTAGCAGCAATGTGGCATAAAACAATGCTCATCAATATGGACTCTGAAGTAGACTCAGGTTTGGAATCCCAGCTCATTTTTCTCATTCATCAAGGGGAGAGAGATCTTTGCTCCCTCCTCATGAAATAGGAAAACTGTGGACTCAATGGAGGATGCACAAGATGGTGTGGAGCCTAAAATGATTAAAGAAGCTGAGAATGTTTAATCTGAAAAAGAATAAAACAAAACTTCTGAGAAGTTAACACTGTGGTACTGCCAGGCATCTATACTGGGATCAAACAATTAATAAATGGATGGCAGATGGTAGAAACCAGGTTCCTCACTGTTGGTGTGGAAAATTATATCTAATCAAGGTCAGCATCAACATTACCATGAAATAATGAATTCAAGTTGGAGACATCAGTGAGAACTCATGTTTAACTTAATGTAGATGGCTACATACAAAAAGAATTATAGATATGTAAGGGTTAGTGTTCAAGTGCGGGTGGGTGCACACACAGATTTCTTTGCTTTGTCCACTGAAAGGTCATAAAGGATGTAATAGCCTAGTAGAAAGAAGCACACCTAGCACTCAGATCTTGTCTTCTGATTCCATTCTCCAGTAAGGAGAATGAAGGCTCCTTGGAAAAATAATTGATCCTAGGACTGGGGCAGGAAATGCACCAGATGAGGTCTGGAGCACCTTGTAGTGACAGAAAGTAAAGAAGTGCTCAAAAAACCCCACAAAACCCTAAAACCCAACATTGATGCGAGTGTGCCAAAAGGCACATGAGCCAACTGAAAGAGCTCCCAAGGGCCAAAGCTGGAACAATTTTAGCAACAAAATAATGTAACATTGGATTCTAACTCAAAGCATAAAATAAATATTCATGAGAACATACTGATGTAAATAAATGACTTAAAGATATACACAGGGGAGAAGAGACACACCTCCCATGCAAAAGACTTTCTAATAAATTATGCAGACACTCCACCTTGGAAGGGGAGGAGCATATCTCCCATTCTGTAAGCACTAGCTGTTTCCAACAAGCACAGCACGGAAAGGGAAAAACCACACAAACACTGCCTTGGCCAGGTGATCCAGGTCAGCATCAGCAGTCATAAATCATGTTGACAGTATGTACCACTGGTAGAAGTTAATGAAAATGGTACTTTACCTCAGTGGTCTTCTTCCTAAGACCTAGAACCCTAATCTTCTCAAGAGAAAAACAAATTCCCCATTCCCTCAAAAGAAGCATCCTACAATATACCTGACCAGCATTCCTCAAAACTGTCGGGTCATCAAAAACAAAAACAAAAAAGGTGGGGTTGGAGAAGCCTGAGAAGTTGTTGGAGCCAAGAGGAAGAAGCTTAAGGGGACATGAGAACTAAATGTAAAGAGGTACCTTAGATGGAACCCTGTAATGGACAGAGGGCATTAGGTTAAAAGTAAGGAAATCTGCCTAAAGTATGGAGTCTCCTTAATATTAATTCATCGATATTTGTTCATTGATTGTAACTAGTGCACTACACAGATGTCAGATATTAACCACAGGGGAAACTGGTGCAGGGCATGGAGTGGTATATGGGTTTCTGTACTACCTTCTTATGACACAATGCAAACTTGTTCCATGGGGTGCAAAGGACAGAGTTGGGTCAAGTGTGGGATTTATAAGATGGCAGCTTCTAGTCTGATAAAAGGAAAGGTTTTCTTAAGTTTAGAGCTGTCCAAGAACAGAACAGGAGTCCTTGTGTGGTAGCGAGCTCTCCAGCACTGAAGAGCCAGAGTCTGCCTAATGAGTACCTGTGAGAAATGTGCACAGAATCGAGGGCTGAGCAAGACGTAATCTCCAAAATCAATCTTTCTGTAAGAGCCATTCAAGTGACTCTGGGAGTATATCTTGAATGCAACCTTCATCCTCTTGTAGAACCAAGGTTGAGAACCGTTGCACAGAACAGTGCTCCCCAACCCTTGTCACATCATGCCACACATATTATAGAAAATTATAGTTGTATGACAAGCTGGGGTGAAAGGAGAAAGTTCACAGCCAGGTGCTGCCAGACTAGGGTTCCAGCTGCCCAGGCCAGACCAGGCCGCCTTGAGAGCTGGCAGTCTCTGCATCTCTGCGCACCCACACCTCATGCACAAATGTCACAAACATCTCCCTCAAGAGACATGCAATACCCCATAACAAGACTTCATTCTGTGGTAGCACCCCCACAAGGCAGGAAGAAAGTGTGAGCTCCTGTGTTCATGGTGGCAAAGCAGAATTGTTCGTTTAAGACAGTGGGTTTCATGCTGCTGTTCTGTGATTCCCTCACTGACCTCCGAGACAATATAGTAGGAATCTCTTTTGGAGTCTTGGACTCTGTATCTGAATTCAGACTCCTCAGTGTAAAAAGAAGTCTGTTCATGGGTACCTGGCACAGGAGGTGAGTCCTGTTCTGCCTAAGACCTGAGCACTGAACAGTGGCTGGAGGAAGCCTCTGGAGGGAGCGGGAGCTGTAGAGGCAGGGTACCAAAGGGGTCCCAGCACCTGTTAGGATGACTTTTGTGTTCATTACAGCTCTGAGGCCCCCTCAACAGCCAAGAGCCAATGGTGAAGCTGCTTTATCTTCCACACTTTCTGTATGAACATGTAGTGCTTATAATTTTAAAGTACCACTATTCAAAAACAAAATATTGCATCAGAGAACTCAAAATGGTTCCTTGCAGTGTGAGGGTGGGGTGAGGGGTGTGGAAGACAGTAATAACAGTGGGGAGCATGCTGTCCCTGAGAGCTTGGTTCACAGAGAGTTAGACTTGAGAAGAGGCTGTCAAGAGACCTGGACTCAGAGCCTTGGAGCACAGACGCCAAGTGGGCAGGGCGGGAATCAAAAGAAGAGAGGGAGGCCCCTGAATTCACAAGCAGGCTCTGTGGGGTGGGTTGCTCATGTTTTCCAACACCTAGGCCCTCATTCAAACGTCGATGTCCCCTGGGGTCTCCAGCTGTGCTTGTCATGTGGGGTGATAGGCCCGGAGGGTCGGGGTACTGCACCAACGTGCACCAGGCGAGCTGATCACAGGCCTCCAGCCTCATGTCCTGATCCTGGGCCCCTCCTTCATGTCTTGTGCCTCTCACCTTCTTTTGTTTTGTTTTATTTTTTCAGGGGAAATAAAGGAGAGATAGAGGCAAATTCTATCTCACTGTATTGCAAAATCCAGTTCACCTTTCTCAAATAGAAGCGGAGTTCAGCTCAAAAGCGGATTCAGAGGAATTCAAGAAAGCCTAAACCCAGCTACTCTGCCTCCCCACCAACCCACCCACCGCACACACACCTA